TTTTTCAAGTTGGCAGTGATCAACGCGCTGTTTACAAACAAGCCGGCGTTTGCCCAAACCAAAAACTGCGCATGCGCAGAAACCAGATTCGCGTTAGGTGAAGCGTCAACGCATGCGCAGTGCCAACCTCAGCGCCACCGCAATGGCGTGACGTCAGAGAGTTCAGTTGGTGTACGTACATTACCGAAAACGTTTAGACCTGGTCATTATATGTATTTGTTTTATAAAGCAATGTTTTTATACGGGCAAGAGTAATCAAAGAGGTCGGAAAGCGGCCCTCCCCCCTTTTGATCTTTCCCATTTGGCTGCCCGAAGCGCAATCTCCGGGTTCAAAAGCCTCCATTTGCATTCTCAGAGTATACGCGATGTCGTTGGGCAGAGCCTGACTCGCGCAACGGGCGGGGTTACGAAAAGAGCGGACAGTCGCCTCGAATGCTAACCAGACCTGCGGGCCAGCTCCCAACAAAACCGTCGCGCCGTGCAAATTCCCACGCCGCTGCAATCTTCTCAAGGGCGAAGGAATTATCCTCGAACTTCATGTTTTTGCTCGAGCGTCGCTGATTCTCGCGGCACGTACAAACTATGTGTCTTTTTAACGATGCCCCCGTACTTATGCGTTCCCTGCATGCTCCTTGTCCACGGATGCATACCGACTGCAATTACGCATCCGTTCGCCCCTAATTATCGCGGCAGAAGAAATGGGGAAGCTGCACGTGGAGGGTTAAAAGTGTGCACGTTGCGTTGAATGGGGCAGAGACCCCTCGATAGGTTTTCTTCTCGTCGATACTCAGCGTCTAAACATTTGCTTATCAAAAGCGTTTGACTGCGTGATTGATCATCACGCAACGTTCGGACAGGTGGTTAGGTTTTATCGTTAATAAGGCCGAAAGTTTTCAGTTATGTGTCGGTTTCACGCGATGCCCTCTATCCAGCGGGCACGTGCTGAAGGCGAGTGTCCACAGCTATTCCGCAACGTCATTGCAGACCATCGAGGTTTGTGGCAGACGATAAGTGGTAGTTCGGTCTGAGCATGCGCTGTGGACAACATGTTCAAACATGGCGTGCGGTGTGGAACCTATATGCGCCGAGACCACTGACCGAGACAATGAGAAAGAGGAGGAAAGGAGAGCACGCGGGAACGTGGCCATTTTGTTCCGAAAGCTTATTTTTACTTCGTTTTCTGGAGCGCGTGAAACAGAGTGTCTCTGCACGCGCTCTTGGCGTTGACTGTGCTACGGCGGCATTTTGTTTTCAGCAATTTCTTTGTATTTTTCTTGTGAGCGCGTGTTGTCGGCATCGAGTACTACAAAGGATGTCATCACCTGAAACCAGTCTTGGGTAAGTTACTTTTAAAAAGTAATTCGTTACAGTTACAGTTACTTTCAGAAAAAAAGTAGCGAAGTTACCGTTACAGTTACCGCAACAAAAGAGTAACTCGTTACAGTTAGTTACTTTTAAAAAGTAACGACGTTACTTTTCAGCTACTTTTCTATAACCCAAAAAATAGGAAAAACTAGAAAATGCCCCTCACCAAGTTTTATTGCATAAAATAAACAGTACGCTTTTTACTTCATATTGTAACTTAGCAGAAGTTGCTTCTCGAAATTAGTGTTTGAAAATTTCCACGCCAGAGCGCTGCAGAACCCAGGGATCCTAGCTGGGTTCAATCCCCACCCCTTCCCGTTTCGATCTGGATGAGCATCGTATCGGCGTGCGGTCGTGTATCACGACCGCGTGGTGCACGTTAAAGACCCAAGGCTAGCGGTTGTACTGCACTGGCTAAATTCCTCATCTACAGCGAGTGAATCGTCGCAACTTTAAATGGCGGACCAACTACACGCTGTATAAAATATCCCCACAACCCAATATTTTTTTTTCCACGCCAGAGTAGTGGCGCAAATCAAAATACGAAACATGCGAAGTGTGGAGTACAGGCGCTAATCAAAATACGAAACATGCTCAGTGCCCTCGCGTGTATTGTTGTTTCACGGTTGATTCACCCGATTAGAAAGCGTTTTCACAGAAAAACGAAAAACCACAAAATAGATAGTGCTTCAAGACACTAAGATGTAAGTGTTCAGTCACAAAGTACAAGCGCGTGCGTAAAGATAACTAGATTTTTTTTCATGATATCTACACGTGGCTATATTCGGGTCGTGACTCGTGAGAAAGAACTCATTCACAACTTTGTCCAAGGCCAACTTGACACTCGAAATGTCGGAATAGACGATTTGAAAAGTGCAAGGAAAATCTAAATTGTACTCGATCAGTGATATATCATTCACAAAGCGCTGGAAAGTAACGACAAAAGTAACGTCGTTACTTTCATCGTTACCTCAGAAAAAAGTAATAGAACTACAGTCACAAATTACATTTAAAAAAAGTAACTCGTTACAGTTACAAGTTACCAAAAAAGTAACGAAATTACAGTAACGCGTTACTAGTAACGCGTTACTACCCAAGACTGCCTGAAACAGGAGGACATTTCGGCACCCTAATAGACCGATCTCACCAAGCGTTCGGCGCATGCGTGGCGCCGCCATAACTTTAGTTCACAGGAGGCAAAAGGCCACGCACGAGAGGGCTCGTGCTGTCTCGTGCTCCACACGCACAGAGGTCCAACGAGGTTGTCGCACGCGCAGAAAGACTAAAGTTCCCTCGATGCAATGCGGCAGCGGTGGCGTAGTCAAACTGGCTGGTGAGATCGGTCTATTGGTAGGGGCGGGCAACTGACCGATTAAACTAACGGTCACTCGATCGTCGCTTTAATCACGATTAATTCTTTTAACCAGTTAATGAGTATATTTTTCCCGACCCAAAAGAAAGTAAAAACGTGTATTCTTTCACCACGCAGGCATGGACGAATACGCCTATATAAAGGACAAACTTTGGTTTAAATTTTAACCTTATGTTCACTGTAATGGCGAGATTTGTGACTCCAGACAAGTTCAGAAGGTTACACGTGTCCCGGACAATTGAACGCCGTGCGAGTGCCCGTTTAGCGCAGCAGGTAATCAAAGGGGGTCGCTCTTGCTGGAGATTATCAACGAACTTCTTTGCCGCATGCAGCTGAAGTAATATTCTGTAAGAGAGAACTAACTAGCTCAGCTCCAACTAGTAGCATCTTGGAACTGTTCTCAATAATAAGTTGCGACGAGTCACACGCTGTAGATGAGCAATTTAGCCAGTGCAGTACAACCGCTAGCCTGGGGTCTTTAACGTGCACCACGCAGTAGTGATACACGACCGCACGCCGGTACGATGCTCAAACTGTTCTCACCTATGTATGTAAGGAGTATTCACTGGGCGCCATATTTGTGGGTGCTGTCTAGAGCGCGTGCTCAGAACGAGCCCCCATTAATAGACTGCTAAGACCGGCACTCTTGATGGTGCGGAATGCACGTTGCAAAAGCACCCTGGAAGCTCGCCATCAGCACGCGCTCAGCAGTCGCGCACACAGCTATGGCCGCCAGTGGATACTTCTTATAACTTTGTGCATAATCGAAATTGTATATTGAGGAGTCTATCACAAATTCAGCGGAAGCAAATATATAGATAAATATATTTGTGTGTGTGTTTGTGTGTGCGTGTGTGTAATTTTGACTTTAATCAAATAAAATATATATATGAAAATAAATAAGACCGATTAAATGACTCATTAATCGATTAAAGGGGCGATTAATCGGCTTGAAATTTTTCATTGACGCCCAGCCCTACTAATTGGAATGATTAGTGGGTAGACCTAAGGCTACACTCCGTTTCACTTCATGTTGTACCGCAGCAAAGGCTAGGAACACGAGCTCATAGCGTTGGCAGCTGCCCGTAATGCGCGAGAGCTTGTGCCGCCGAGATGTGCCCTAGAGCAAGGAGCTTGCGCTTGTAGCCTTTTCCTGCGGTACATCGTGAAACAGAGTGGCTGCCTCTGTCTCCACTGCTCTCCTGCAACGCGTTAGAACGCGGAATAAGTGTGTCCTGCGTTTGAGTCTCGCATTCGAATGCGTTCGACGTATGCAGTGGAGACATAGGCAGGCTTGCTTTAGGTCTACCCACTAATTGGTCCAATAAGAGCTCGGCGTTCTGCCGTCCCCTCTGGTCTCCTCCTCTCCCTCTGTTTCTTGGCGCATGAAGTGCATTCACTGTCCGCCATAACAGTGTTGAGTGCTTTCTGACGGCGAGCTTCCACAAAATTCACATCGCATTATCAAAGCTTGGATCTTGGCAGAGTGACTGGAGAATTATTACTGATCAATCATATAGACCTGCATATTTTGTTTATTAGTAAAGCCATTGTTTCTCAACTTACCCGGTTTTTTTTTTTCGTTTCTCTTTTTTTTTGGGGGGGAAGGGGGGCGAAGGTGTCCGTGGACATGAATGGTCCAGGCGTGCAACGTCAACAGTCTGCAAATCCCGACACTAGATGGACATTAGTCCGCACCGGGTGCCATCTTTAGTATCACTAAACCTAATACAAGAACCACTTATTGTCATTTTCTTTCCTACAGTTATCTAGGGTGTGATTATCCCCTCAAATATGAGCCATTACAATGGCTAACTAATCGACAGGAATTTTCCCCGTTTTCATGAAGCATCAATGACTGGATTTCACTGACTGGCATTGTATAGTAACTGATTCAACCATAATTCGTTCCGCTCCGAGTGCAAAGCGTTTTTGGATACGTAGTATTCTATGTCTCTGTACATGATTGCCTTATATTCTTAATTAATATTCTTTTTTCATTTCCTTTATCTCCCTCAGCGTTTAACGTAATGCGTGATGTCTTCGAGGATAATAAACCTGACCTTGAACTTGCGTTGCAGACAACGCGACAGCTAGAAAGTGGCACAAGACGAGGGCCGCAGTTTCGCTTTTGGTGTGCGGGCGCGGTGGCGTCGTCTGCTACCCGTCTAGGCCATTTGGGTGGCGGGGTCTAGCCCCAGCCGACGCCCCATGCGCGTCCCCCGTCCAAGGTCAGGGGAGCGACAGCCCTGCCCCCCTCCCTCGCAACCGTCGGACAAAGTAAAGGCAGGCAGCGAAAGCGGCAGGAACGTTCGTTTTCCCCTGGTTTTCCCCTCTCTTCCGCCACCGACGGCATCGGAAGGCCGCTCAGCGAGTCGTCTGCTTCAGCCAGAAACATGTCTGCTAAAGTGCGTCTGCTACTCTCCTTGCTCGCGCTCCTGGTCGGAAACGCCGTTGCGGGTGAGTGCCTCTTTCTTTTTTTTTTTTCTTTTATTTCTACTTTTCTTTTAATTTCTTGATTTGGAGGCGCACTTAAGACGCTGAGATATCGAGCGGACGTTAAACCCGCTTGATTCCTGTTCCTAATCGGAGGAGCGAGGAGTCAATTGAGTTTCCGAGTCGCTGAAATGCGCCTTGTCCTCGGTTTGGGTTCGGTACCAATACCCACTTATGAGCGTCTGCCAACAGTTACGTTCAGTTTTTTTATTCAACCAGTAATTGTTTCAAGAATATTCTGGTAGTTGCTATATGCTTTTTTGGGGGGTTTCGGTGCTAAATAAAAGTGTGGCTTTCTTCTTCGTGGCCGCAAGCATGTTTTACATGTCTTTCCTGGTTAGTAGCACTGCACATCACACCACCATCTTTTTTCTTTCCTTCTTTTTAGGTTAGTTTGACGTTCAGCAGAAATGCGCCCGAAAGAACTCGTAAAATCAAAGGAACATTACGAGGCAACGGTTTTCCAATCTAAAACTTTTTTTTTTTTGTGATAGAGTGAAAAGATTAGCAGGATGACTTGCTTTAGAACAAGCTTGGAGACTAAGACACAAAAATAGTTACTTCGGATGGATTCGCGTCACAAGAACTTTCTAGAATAAAACTCGTAAGAGCCGTCCTAGCTAATAGCGTCTTTCCGCACACATCTTATTTTGAAATAATATAACGGGTATATCTTCCTGGAGCAGAGTGTCTGTCTTATCAGTCAAAGAAATGTATCGATAAATCAACTTCGTCGCATTCTGTCATCGCCGAACACGAGAAACATTTTCGTTTCTTTTGAGCCCAAAGATAGTCACGATCCCCCCCCCCCCCCCCCCCCCCAAACCCTTGTCTGTTATGTGCCTCTGCAAACTTGCAAACTTAATTAGAAACCGAAAAAGCGAACTTTTAATTTCATTTTTGTGTTATGATTTCGGATTTGATGTTTTGTGATTAGAAATGGAGTAAGAGCTGTAAAAAAAAGTCGGAAGTGTTGTATAGTGAATCCAGATTCACGAGAGAATCGGTAAAAAAAAAAAACAGATGCGTCGCTGCCATCGATTTGTATGTAGCGTTCGTTACATCTTCGCTTTAAAGGCGCGCTTTCAAGTGTTTGGCATCCGGATCAATGAAAAACACTGTTTTGCATGACGATAGTCTGGCGCATGATCGTTGAGGGAAGAACGTGCTAAATGATCAAACTTAAAAGTTATATCGCGCAACGCCGTGTGCCGATTTCCACGCCAACTATCGGCGTTCACTGTACCATTCTGCCTAAATCTTAGTACACTTTAGAAAGAGCATTCTGATAGACTTGACTTCAAAAACTTGTATTTTCAAGTCCTTTCAAAAACACCCTCTTTAATTTCGTGACTAAGTGACAAAATCTTCATTCTGTTCGAAGATACTGCGCAGAGTTGGTTCCGATATTTTTGAAGTGGGCGCCATCTAGTGAAGAGGGCACAAATGCCGCGTCAGTGTTCGGCGACGGCTCGGATCCAATAGCACGCTTGGTGCCCAAGAAATGGCGACCACGAAGGGTGCTTGTTGGGCGTATGAAAGGGGTCCACGGTATCACTTTCGAGCGGTCCCTTGTCTGGCTGCATCGACGACCGACTGTCGTTGCACCAGGGGCAACATACGCAGCGCGCACGCAGTTACCTCGTCGCGCAACGAACATTGGGTCTCACAACAATCCAGAAAGGCATCTAAAGTCGGCGTTACATAAGCACAAGGTCACTTTCGGTCTCTATACAAATCGTCCCTTTGTTTCCCCTTCTTAGAAACGGAAGAAAGAGAAACAATAAGAAAGAAACAACCGCGCCCGGCTCATGTTAACCTTCAAAATTACGGCAACAACAGACAAGGCGACGCCAAGTGAACGAAGCGTTCCGTGTCCAGCATGCCTAAAAACCGACTTCCCCCGAATGAGACTTCTCAAATTGCAGCCTCAATTAAAAGAGAAACTGCCGCTCGTTAACGCAACTCTTTTTCTTTCTTTGCATGGGCGCAATTTCGGGCCAGGTTGCCAACCGCTTGCTACGCGGATGTATGCGCGGCGGATGTGACGTCATAGTTCGTTACGCGGAATGGACCGCTCGTGTTTCTCGCCTTTTGTTTGCTCCGTCGGTGCCAACTGTTTTCAGTCGAACGTACGTGGTTAGCATTAGCTCGAGTCTTCTCGAAGGAGACTCGCCGGTAACAAATATGTCCCCCGTGGAGTCAGGCCCATATTGCTTACACCACCGACCGCGATTACGCATAGAGTGACGTCTTCCTCTTCGGCCGAAAGAACGGGTTGACGCACCTAGAGCCACTAAAGGAGCTGCGCTTAGAGTACCGGCACTCCGTTCCCCGACATTGTTGTGGGCGCCGCCATTTTGGCTCTTATGCGGAGCAGACGCAACTGCCGATCGTCATGATTCAAAGGTGCGACTTCTTCAGCGTTAGATTCGCTGTTAGGAAAGTCACGTAATATTGCTTTGCTCTGTCGCGAACTCTTTAAACATTTGTTGAGGACGGGAAAGCGTTTCCTGCGATATTAGATGAAGCTTCAGATAACTGGCAACCATGATTTTAAGCCACAATAGGCCAAGTGTCGTTACTCTGAAGCGTAGCTTATTTAGTGGCACTAGTCCCTGGCTGCTGGCTGCATCGCTGTGCACTTGATATGCACCAATTGTTGACTACGAGCGATACATCGTGGCCCAATTGTCACGATTTATACAATCATCCCCCCCCCCCCCCCCCCCCCAAAAAAAAAAAAAGCCGTTCGTCCCTCTTGCCACGGAGATCGCGTGGCTATTGGAGCATGATACTGCTCGTTATTATTTATTAAGTGATACATCGTTCGAGGAATAATGGTTGATGTTACAAGTGCACTGTAGGGGGACATAGATGCAGGAGCTTCGTAGAGTCGAGAGGCTTCACTAAACTCTAGATCAGAACCTCCCACGATAACAAAGCGAATTTTTGTAGTTCGTTTTTCTCCTTTCGCTGTACTCACCGCAACGTATTATGGGAACGTGGAAACGGTGTACGAAAACTCCCACGACAACACACCCTCTCCGAACAAAACGCGTAGGAACAAGGAAACAAAAACAAATTATGAAGTTATGCATTAATCACATTTGGACTTCCGCAAACCGCATCGAGTCTCTTAGACGTGGCTTGCACGGCGAACGCAGCAGCCGAAACCGAGCCTCACACCTCACCATCTCCTTATTTTATTCGACTCCTGTGTAAGATGGTGATTTGGGCCAGTTAGTTCATAGCTAACAGCGCCGAAATAATACGAGGACCAAAACCAATAGGAAGAAGACCTGTTGGCGTGTGTCGTGATTTTGTGTCATCCGGTCACCGCAAGTAATACGCGTCGCCGAAGAAGATAAAAGTCACCGCAGTGCAAGGCAGATATTCTCGTTGTATAAACAACCACGCAATTGTTTTGGTTCTTATTATTGTTGTTGTTCTTGTTCTTGTTCTTGTTATTCTTGTTTTTGTTGTTATATGGGGTGATTAATGTGGATGCGAGTGACGAGCACGACACGATCGAATTTCGTGTGAAGGTCACAATGCAATTGAGTTGAAGTGAAGCGTCTCCAACGTTTGATTATCATCCCCTTTCGATAGTGGTCACGACAGCTCTTCGCAGTCTACAGGTAATGTTGTCGAAAGTCCCTACAGCTAGCGTATTATACGGTGATCGCCAGTGTTCGAAACGCGTCTTCGGCGCATCGGAACCGAAGGAGGGGCGCGCCAATCAAAGGGTAACATAGAGAACGCTCAGGCAAGGCGCGATGACGAGGCAGCTAAGAGCGCCACCATCGTCAGTCGAGGTGGGGGCGGGGGGGGGGGGAGACAAATTCCTTTGACTTCATCTGAGGGAGTAAACAAATGCACGAAATACGCAAAGAACACCCGCACTTGCACACCGTGTGCACTCTCGAGAAAAAGGGGTGCATCGTTACATCCTTTGTCCCATAATACACGGCAAAACTTCAATTCCACGTACAGCGCCCTACAGTCAAACAGACGGCCCCAAATTTTACGAGGGGCTTAATAGCCGTGTGATACAACTGATTAAAATAGCTAATGTACGTTTTACTGAACACGAAAAAAAAATAATCGGGGTTTTTTTGGCCCAACTATAAAAACTCGTTATTTTCTTTATGTGGTCTTTGACACGTACTTTAGCTATCTAAAAATTTATATCGCACCGTTATCAAGCCCCTCGTAAAATTTGGGGCCGTCTGTTCGACCATAGGGCTCAGTACGTCGAAATGAAGTTTTGGGGTGAATTATATGGGACAAAGGGTGTAACGATACACCCTTGTACACCATTTTTTCTTGAGAGTGTAGCCACTGAAAGTTCAAGAAACGCAATTACGCATGCGCTCACGGGTATCGTTTTTCGGTGTTCCTATAACGTCTGACGACGCAATCCCATCGAGAGCGAAAAAAAGATACCATGTGGCACTGCGACGTCGAGTGTTGCAAACGCTGCGTAGCGCAGTGCACACAGATAATGACTGGTCGCAAATATCGAGCTCCTGGTCGTCGGTCAATGGAAAGCGCACCTTCTGCGTTACGCTGCGTTCGCTGCGCTAAACGGCGGCGTATATAGCAGAGCCTTTACTCGCCCTATATCGCCGTCTGCTACACGGAACACTTATGGAGGTTCCTTTCATAATGGTGTGGCCTTCAGCTTGCAAAAGCACCGTGACGGACAGTAAAAAAAGAGTCGCACGGACAGTAAAAAAGAGTCGCACGCCATGGCAAGTCATTTTGCCTCACCTGAGTCTTTAGCCCACAGCCATCGCAGAATGACGGTGAATCGTCCGCGAGATCAGTGCACATGCAGCCAACCCGCCGTCAACGCGCCTCGACCGCGCGAACGCTCGTGCGATGGCTGCGCCAGCCAAAGCTGGCACCTGTAGCCTTTTGCTGCAGTCCAAGTTAACGTGAGACAGGGTATAGTGGCCTCGCACCACGAAGGGCGTAAGGTTCATGACATCGAGGAACAAGAACGGAAGAACTTTCAGAAACGAAAATTCCGCGAAGCGAGGCTGCGCCGGATATGCAGATCGTTAAACCTTCTGGTAGCATCCCCGTAAACGTAGGCCTCCGAGTCCTCGGCGCAACCAATACCACCTACGAGACAAGGCCCGCGCGTGACATCATCGATACTGGATCCCCCGCCCCAATCGACGCTGAAGCTTAACGCGCCACAAACACGCGTCCGTCTTGGCGTCACCGCTTGCCAGCGTCGTGCTCATTGTGATACGCTGCAACACGCCCTGGTGACGAGGCTGGAGCAGGAGAGGCGGCGTCGCGCGGATCCACAAGCAATGACGTAGGGGGCGCAGGCCTTGTCTGCTAACTGGTACCGGCGCAATCCCGTTTACGCGGGGGCCTCTTCCCTTCCTTCTTAAACGACCTACCGTTTGTTCGAGGTGAACGGTCGAGTCGCACTCATCTCGCGGGAATAAATAATTCATCTCCGCGGTCCAGGGGTACGCGTCAATGGACCCCGGTGTTAGTGCCACTTTGCGCCTTCCGGTTCGGCCAGGGCTACGTAACTTGATGGATTACCCCGAGCACGACAGGTAGTTGCCATTTAATCCTCCGGCTAAGTGGATTCCCGAAGCGGCATCGATCGAGTGCCGCGATAAGTCTAAATCGGGCAAGAAATAAAACGAATTATACCCTGCTCGGGAAAGCGACAAAATTGAGAAAAGTAAATTTATAGGCGTCTATACTTTCTCCACAAAAAGAAAAACAAAAGTCAGGCAACACGCGTTAATTTGGCTGCGAACGACTCTCTGGCTTTAGTACTTACAGGACTTACCAGGCGAATGCGTCCAATCGAAAATTTCCCTCGTGAGTTTGATCCCATTTTCTGTGTTTCCCATTTTGGTCCCCGGGCCTGCAAAGCACGCTTGACAGTGACGCTGATTTGTGCTTATTGTAAACATATTAGTATGGTGGACAGTAAGAAAAAAAATAGCTTACACTGATGCGATTGGGAGCGCAATGTTGTTACTTCTCTTTTGAGAGCGTTCCTTCGGTTGGGTGTCTTCGGCCGCATTCACGCTGCTCGGTACAAAAGACAATCGCTGCAGGCAGTTAATTTCTTACAAGTTAAAATCTTAGAAGCACCCTTGTTTCACACATGCTTAAAACACGCAGACAGTTCTTTTTCACGACCAATGTACAAGAACCGTCATACGAGGAAGAGCCTCAGACAGTGTATATGCAGACTGTCTTTTGTACCATGTATTTGGAGGCTCGAGTATAGGTACTTTTGAAAAAGTAAATAATAATAATAATTAATTGAACGCGAATGTATATAAAAAAAGAGCTGACCCACGAAAGCAAAAATGATTGTATCCGTTACAGTTATGCGCGATCCCCACTAGAGCGACAAACAAAAACAACCGACACGGACAAGCCTCCAACAGATGCAGCATGCTCGCGATGCTGGCGTTTAGTCGTTCGGTGCTCGTGAAGTGAGCACGAGTGATCGCGAGCCTGCCAAGGATAACCCTCGCGTGCAAGATGCTCGTGTTTGAGCGTAGCCTCCTTTACTCTACGAAGCCCGTCAAATCGCGAAAAAAATCTGATTTGAGGCTTGTCGCTGTCGGTTGTTTCTGTTTGTCGCTCTAGTGGGACCGGGGCTTTACAGTTACTTTCACAAAAAAAGACCAAAGAGAATTACCACAATGAAGAAGTAACTCGTCAGGTGCTCCGCGTAAGGGTTCTCACCTATCTGTTCAGCCCAGCACACCACCACCTGCGCCCTTGGAAGTGCAAATAAAATTATTATTATTATTATTATTATATTATTATATTACTTCAAAAGTAACGGCGTTACTTCTAGTTTCTTTTACATAACAGGTGCGTAAAGATAACCAGATTTTTCGCATCAGATTCACACGTGGCTATACTCGGGCCGTGACTCGTGAGCAACTGCGTACTCAACAGCTGGCGCAAGGCGAGCATGACTCTCAAAATGTCGGAACACGTCACTTGGAATGTCCAAAGAATGGCTAGATCGTGCTCTATCAATGATATCTTAATCCTCAAGAAACTATGAACAGCAACGACAGAAACGTTACTTACATCGTTGCTTCAGAAAAACTATTAGAACTGTACTCGTCTCAAAACTACAGTTTCACTTTCACCTCAAAAACCGTAATAAAAAAAAAAAGTAAGTTTCTTTTTTTGCGGAACGTTATTAATTTTCCTTTTCATCTGTTTAATTAAGATATATGTAGGTGCACCTAAGATTACCTTTCTGTTATTTGATCAAGACGTCCACGTTTCAAACGACAAAAGCATCGTTTTTCGGCTAAAAATATTAAATCTTGTAAAAACTGTCTCCCGAAGCCCACGAATAATCCGCAAAACTTTTTTCTTGATGTTTTTAGAATGAAACGCCTTACGGTTACATGTGAGCAAAAAAAAAAAAGAAAGAAAGACGTTTACAATTCTTTGTAATCCCGACTTAGACCGCAGCATTTTAGGGGGAGGAGGAGAGAGTACGGAGGGGAGAGTATGCCCTCCTTCTCTTCTGCTCCCCTCCCATTTAGCGGGAAATTTGCGTTAAATTTCCCGCTAAATTTAACGGGAAATTTAGCGAAAAGTTCCCCGCTGAATCTAGCGGGTTAAGTTTCCCCGCAAAATTTAGAGGAAAAATTTACGTGACGTGATCTCAGCACCAATTTAGTTCCCCGCTAAATTTAGCGGGGAAATGTTTTCGCTATATTTATCGGTGAAAAACTTTCCGCTAAATTTAACGGGGAATTAGGGAATTTTCGTAGACCGCGTTTCCCTCTCCGCTAAGCCCTCCGCCACGAAGAAGCCGCTACTGCGCCTGCGCGCCCATAGCCTTGAATGTAGAGTTATGGGTATCGTAGCGGGTTGCGGAGGGTGTTGCGGGACGGCGAAAACCATCTAAGAAAACTCCCTATTATTTCCACTACATTTAGCGTGGAAATGTTTCCTCTAAATTTAGCGGGGAAATTTTCCGCTAAATTTAGCCGCCGTGTGACGTCACCCTCGTGACCCTCATGACGTTCGCTCGTGAGTCACGTGAAACGTGAGTATGGGAAACGTGCAACGCGCGGTTACGCCGACGGCGACGCCGCTCAAGCCGGAAACGGGCGATAAGAGATGCGCTCTAAAAAAGTACCGAAGTTACGGTGCTAGCAAAGACTATGTACTAGCGCTGTGAGCGGGGCATCAGCCATGCATGTCCCAGTGACAGCCGTACTTTCCAGCGCCCCTCGATGAATCGGAGGCCAGCCCGGTTTCCTCGAGCCAGGACCAAGCTCCAGTTCCCGATCTGCCGACGACGGCGAGCCGTAAGTCGAACGAGCAAGATTAACAAAATAATTAAATACGAAACCGAACTAGCGCATCACCTTGGCTAGTCTTTGTATGCACACGTCACACGAAACGAAAACCAAACTTGTCTGGCGAAAGCTACACAATTCAGGAAAAACAAGTTACATGCTGTATTGGTAACTGCCAGTGGACTTATTTAGGAAGGTGCATAGCACTTCGGATAGCTAAATGTTCAATTGTGTGCGAACAGTTACACCTTTAAATTTTTAAAAATGAGGGCATGATTTGAATTGGGATCTAGCTGGGCGCGCCATTGCAAAGCGCTAGATAAATCACTTTCAGGAAAGTTTATGGCGCGTGCATCATTTCATCGAGTTTCGAGAAACAACCCAATTAAAACGTACCACCGAGTTTTCACATTCCTATTGGCTGTGCCTTAGCGACCATAGTTAAAAAAGACACCTCTCAGGCGCTCTAATGGCTTTTATTGGCTCTTATGCGAACAAATGTTGCTGATGGTAAATCTAAAATTTTTACACAAAAACATATAAAGAAAGGAACTGATTTTTGATGGTGAAAGCAGGCTATTTAAACCATAATATTAAGATAACAATTAGTTTTATTTTGGACAATAATTTTAACTTTTATACCAGATACAATAAACAAAAATACAACTTGTTCATAGTGAACGGCGTTCCGTATGAAACAATATATTATATTTAATGTTATGGCCCTATTGAAACCGAATACTTAAAAAAGAAAAAAGAAAAACACGGAGGTTTTTCACGTGTCAACCACAGAGTGTAGTAGTCCACGAATGTCCTCCGTGTTTTTATTCTTTTTATTCTACGTATTCATAATTACAGCACGCTCGCCTTAACTAGTTGAAAACGAAAACCCCAGGGCTTTTCAAACGGTAAACATTAAACGCAGCCTTTACGAAAAAAAAAAAAAAAAAAAAAAAAGTTGGAGTGTGGCACAAAGAGAGCGGGGACCAGCCAATTCGGAACGCCTCGCAAAATTCGGATTTTAAACGTGCATGGCTCAAATTTGGCACGCAAACGATTTGCAAGATAATTATTTTTTTCTAGCTCAATTTAAAAGTGGTGAAATATTGAATATATATAGCCAGAACGGCGACCGTTCATTTGCTTTGTCCTCTACCGGGTCATCGTCATTTGCATACTGGTTTGAGAGAGTGCTCCACGGTGGTCATAGCTCATATGTTTCGTCAACACAGCGGAGCTAGTTTCCCCAGCATCGTGTCCGCCGGATTAGAAGTGATGACACCGAACTCTGGACAGCTACCGCCATCTATGAGCGACGGCGGCCAGCAGACAACTGGTTGCCGCCGTCGCTCATAGATGGCAGCAACCTTTCTCTGGAGGTAGAGTTCCTGTATATGCTACCCGTAGGGAGCCTATACAGGAACTCTATCTGGAGGAAGAAGAGCGGGTGCGGAACGAGCGGCGATGTGCGCAGCAGCGCGAATGGTTCCGCAACCGCCGCGAAGCCGCTATCGCCTGAAATTCCACAGCGTCGAGCGCTTCAGATTCCCTTGCAAAAGAAGAGCAGATCGCCCGCCTGCAAGGCCACCGCCGAGAACAGAAACTACAGCTCCGCTGTTCTTCCTTCTTCACCAGAGTGGGAAGGCTGAAAGTTTTTTTGTTTTTTTTCAACAAGTTATTCGGGAGCTCGCCCGCAAACTAGTGAGCAGATGACGGACATCCAGCAGAGGACATAGGAAATGCAAGGCCGCGTTTTTGTTCTATTTTAAATATTTACCATATATCTAAGCTGAGCTTCAAAAAATTGACATAAAACTTCTTACGAAACGATGTTCGCGGGAGCGCATGCGAAAAAGTCGAATTTTTAATTTTGACAAAAAACTATATGTTACAGAAAAAACCGCGGGTCCGGGTAATGTTTTGTTTTCAAGTTATGAAGCACAGAAACGGCCGCGGTGGCAATGAGCGTTTTCCCCACTGTATGAGGTCGCATGTTTGACTCAGTCTCTTCCCGCGATTTCTGCCTCTACGCTGGTTTTATGTTTCTCTATAACTCTGTGGACACTATGTAGAGGTCTTGATGTGTTTAAATATTTCTAGGCGTTTAATATACGTATATATTTTTAAATAAATCGACAAACTCACCTCCCAGGTGATGTGTAACAGAGCGTAACGACGAAGACTGAGAAAAGGAACGCACAACACAGGGCGATCGCTCGTCCAGTGTTGCGTGTTCCTTTTCTCAGTCTTCGTTGTTAGACGCTGTTATACCCACACCATGTTCAGCTTCCACCAACTAACCAGCTCTCTTGTCACCTCTGAGGTCGATATTGTCGCGCGCCAAGTAGGCAGCACGGCCGTAGCCTAACATTCTTCTTCCGGCCGCCGTAGCGAAAGGACGCAGAATCATGAGCTCCGCAGGAGCGGTGATAACGGCCCCCGCAGGCCGCGGTGACTCTGCTTTTTCCGGTGACGAAGAATACCGGATTGCTCTACCCCAGCTGCCTTCAGGAGAAGCGATGAAGCGTGCCGTCGTGCTACACGCGGACATGGCCTCTCGTCCGTATCGGCTCGAGGACTTCCGTAGACCACTCGGCGATGCAGGTGTCCTCGGGGAAGTGGCCAGGATCGGGGCTTTCCAAATGTCCCATGTCTGGCTGCTCGACCTGAGGACTGATGCGGCTAAGCAGAGGCTTCTCGGGGCCGGGCAACTCGTTGTCAAGGGCCGCAAGTGCCTCATCGTGGACCCGTACAGGCAGGAGCTACGGGTAAAGCTGCATTGGGTGTCGTTCGGCGTCACGAACGACGCCATCCATCGGGCCTTCGCCGACTATGGAGAGGTGAAGGAAGTGGCGCACGAGCGCTGGAAGGTGCCGGGGTTCGACGGCGTCGAGTCAACCACCCGTGTCGTGCGCCTTGTTCTCCGGGAGGGTGTCAGCTTAGACCGTCTACCGCACCAGCTTCGGCTCGGCGGCGGCATGGTGCTCGTCGTTGTGCCTGGGCGGGCCCCCCTCTGCCTCCGGTGCCGAATGACGGGCCATATCCGACGTGACTGCCGGGCCCCCAGGTGCACAGAGTGCCGTGCCTTCGGGCACGAGAGGGCCGACTGCGTCCGCTCCTACGCCCGTGCCGCCGGTCGAAGGGCGTACGACGACAACACTGACGACCTCATGGACGAGGAAGAGGCGGAGAAAGCGGCTGCACCCGCCGGAACCACAACCGAGCAGCCGAAGGAGGTGGACGACTCGACCGACATCGTCCCTACAGTGGGGAACACCCTGTCACCGCAGCAACCGTCGACCACTCCTCCTGCCCCTCCGCAGGCAGTTGAGCCTCAGTCAACTGCGGCCTCGTCCCCTCCGCAAGCAACTGGGACCCAGTCGGCCGCACCGCCTGGGAGAACCCAGGCGGGCGCGGCTCAGGCTCCTGAGGGGAGACCCACCCAGAAAGAGGTGGACACCGAGCCTGGCTCTGCTAAGCGCCCGCGTGAGGACTTCCCAGCGAACTCCAAGGACGGACGGCAGCGACAACAAGAGAAGAAATGGAAGGTGGTGGTGGGCTGGAAAGGCTCGGACAGCCAGCCGCCGTCTTCGTCACCGATGGACTGCGACAATCTGGTTCAGTAAGCCACTGTGCGAGCGTACTGCCCCGTGCGACGATGATAATAGGGAGTTTTCGTAGACCGCGCTACCGCCTCCGCTAAGCGTTCCGCAACCAAGAAGTCGCTACTGCGCCTGCGCGCCGAAAGCCTTGACTGTGGAGTTCCCGCTATCGTAGCGGATTGCGGAGGGCCTTGCGGGTCGGCGAAAACGATCTACGAAAACTCCCTATTGAAAGGTAAGCGCCGCGCGCTTGGTCTGGCCTTCTATAGCTCATGATCTCTATCGAAAGGCCTGTACGACTTGCGACCCTCAACGTGCGAGGGCTCGCGGACCGTCGAAGGCAGAGGCAACTGTACCGCCTAGTCGTAGACCACGACCTCGATATTGTTGCACTACAAGAGACCAAAGTCGAGGGAGAGGACCAGACTGAGCGCATGGTGCGGCCTTTTACGGCCCGCTACAATGTTTGCGTCAGCCGAGCCGTAGGGACGTCCGCGGGGTGTGTCATTTTGGTTCGCCAGTGCCTAGGGGCAGTAGTCCAGGCCGTTACGGCTTGTGAATCGGGGCGCCTCGTGGTTTGCGATTTTTCCTTTTCGTCGAGTGAATGGCGCATCATCTGTTTGTACGCGCCTACCAGAGTTGGGGAAAGAAGAGCCTTTTTTGAAGCCGTTCAGTACCATTGTAACTGTCCGCGACTTGTTATCCTGCTTGGGGACTTTAATTGTGTGTGCTCGGCAAGCGACAAGACAAGCTCTACACCATACATAGACGCGAGTACTGAATGTTTAAAAGATTTAATTAACGAGTTTGGATTGGAGGACGTTGGCGACTGTATCCGTAATGGTCAAGTTCTAAAATTTACCCACTTTCAAGGGCTCAGTCACGCCCGTCTAGACAGAGTGTATGTGCCTTTGGATTTAGTTCCCCTGTGTCAAGATTATCATGTGAGTCCAGTGTCCTTTAGCGACCATTGTCTTGTTCAGTTTTCCCTACGAAGTAAAAATGATTCTAAAAAACTATTTAATTGGGAATTATGGAAATTAAACGCAAAATTGTTGCAAGATGAAATTTTCATGCGACGAGTTCAGGCAGCGATAGAACGAATGACAGACGGGGACAAATCAGTTGGGCATGGGCCAAAATGGGAAATATTTAAACAGAACATAAAGATAATGGCCATAGAAAGAGCTAGCGTCATTAAAAACGAAGAAAAGAAAATGGAAAAGGCAATGCGCTCGAACTTGCTGACGCTAGTAAAAGAAGAATGCCGATCGCCGGGTGTCTTTAAGGACGATATTTTATTTTTGAAAGAAAAACTCGAGCTGTTAGATAGAGACCGATATCGCGGCGCGCTTGTGCGAGCTAGAGCCGACAGGCTGATAGCGGGCGAGTTGCCTACAAAGCGAGCTCTAGGCATGGAAAAGAAGTACGCCCGTCGGAATGAGATTGCGGAAATAGAACATGATGGGGTCGTTACAAGCGACGGCGCCGAAATCGAAAGGGCCTTTTTTGATTATTACAGCGCATTATTTTCTTCCAATCCTGTCAATCTAGAAGGTTTTAAAAGCGATTTTTTGGCATTCATGCCGAGGCTCGGCGACGAAACAAAATCAATTTTAGAAGGACCCATTACATATGAGGAAGTTAAGACGGCAATTGAAGCTTTGAACCCCGGCAAGTCCCCTGGACCGGACGGGCTCAGTGCGGCGTTTTATAAATCGCTCAAGAATACGCTGGCTCCTGTTTTAGTGGATGTTTTTAACGAGGCTTTTGATGCAAAGACTCTTCCGCCTTCTTTCCTAACGGCTCATACCGTCTTAATTCCTAAGACAGAAGATGTCACTAAACTTAGGCAGGTCACATCCTATCGGCCCATCAGTCTGACCAACGTGGACTACAAAATCCTCATGAAAATTTTAGCAAGAAGGTTGCAAAGTGTAATAACCGAACTAGTTGGCCCTCACCAAACATGTGGGATAAAGGGAAGAACAATTTTTACAAATACGCACACAGCGAGGTGTGTCCTCGAGTGTTGCGATGCCATGCATAGTCGCGTTGCCATGCTTCAGGTGGATCTTGAGAAAGCTTTTGATCGGGTACCACATGACGTCCTTTTGGCCGTCCTTGATCATGTAAATGTAGGATCTGTTATACGGGAAGGAGTTAAAATGGCGTACAGTGGCAGTACGACTAGCCTAATAGTAAATAAGTCGGTCGGAAAGCGTATTCAGGTGCAGCGTTCAGTGCGCCAAGGATGTCCTTTATCCCCTCTCCTTTTTTGTATATACATAGAATCATTTTGTTTAAGTATTATTAGAAATAGTAGAATAAGTGGATTTAAGCTACATTCATCCGAAGTGCGCGTTTTGGCCTACGCGGATGATATTGCCTTGTTTTGTTCAAACGAAGAAAGCATTGTTGAAGCAGTTAATATAATCAAACGGTTCTGTAACGTCAGTGGGAGCGCAGTAAACTGGGACAAGTGTATAGGTTTTTGGCACGGGGAGTGGTTTTCAACGCCGAGTGTCTTCGCGAATATAAAATGGGTGTGCACTCCAGTAAAGTATTTAGGTGTGCCCCTGGAGTACTACCGCGATAGTGAGCCGTACTGGAGCAGACAGGTATTGGAGCTCCGTGACAAAGCGGAAAAGTGGAAGGGGAGCGGGCTTTCTATTTTTGCACGTGCCACAGTTTGCAATTTGTTTCTTGTGAGCAAGCTGTGGTTCGTGTTGCAAGTGTTACACTGCTCTCGGGTGAATGTACAGAAATTGCACCGCGTTTTCGCAGTATTTATTTGGGGCTCCTCTTGGGAGAAAATGAGCAGAATTAATCTTTTTCGTCGTGTGCGCGAGGGTGGACTAAGCTTGTCGCACTTGTTTCTACGTCAGGTAGTAAATCGTTTTATATTTTTTCGCGATACAAGTGATCTGTTTTTGCGAACCGTATGCCAAGTAAGGCTAGGTCGGGCTCTGCCAGAGTTTATAGTATCTTCGTCAAGCGAGCCAGGCGGCATTCATGGGTATTTCAAAGAGCTAGTAGCGTCATGCCGATTCTTAGCAGCCCGTTTTTCTCTGGACTATTTGAGCGAAGTGACACGCAAAAGATTGTATAAAGATGTTTGTGATGTGGTTTTCCCTGCGCCTATGTACAGAGTTTTGTTTTCCTCGGGAAGAGGCCTGGACGTCTTAAAAAGGGTGAAAAGAATGCAAGTGCCTCCTGGCGTTAAGACTTTTTTCTTTAAGTTGCACACCGGTACTCTGCCAGTAAAGACCTGGATGGAGGAGAAGGGCCTGTTCGTTCCCTGGGGGGTCCACTGTTTTGTCTGTAAAAAGCCGGAGACAGTTGAACACGTGTTCCTGGAGTGCTGGGACGGTGTCCTCTTGTGGGACGTCCTTCAACGCACCCTGAAAAAGGAGTTACCGCTAGATCCATACGGGATCAGGTACCTGTCGGTAGAAAACGAGGGCGGTGTACCGTACGATCTGGTAATGTTATTATGTTTGCATGGCATCTGGAGATCTCGGATGGCAATGCGCCATGCTGACAAAGATGCGCGTGAGGCAAGGGAGTACTTTCGGGAAAATATTATTTCATTTGTCGAAGTTTGCAAGGTCCAGCAATATGTCCCTGAGTGGCTGCCGCATATTGAACGGCTCCTGACGATGGAAAAGTTTTAACCGTACAAAGATAGCCAAAGGCTGACTGGCTTTTTTTATATTTACGTTGTATTAGTGTGTCGTGTCTGTGCTTGTGCTTTTGTCCGGCAATAAAGAAAAAAAAAAAAAAAAAAACGGCCGTAGCCTAACGGTTATCGCGCTTGCCTCCCACGCGAAAGGCCAGGGTTCGATTCCTTGCCGCGGCTACACATTTTTGTTGGCACTGTACTGTGATGTTCTGGTGAATTCGAGAACCGTCTTGCTGATTCGAGGTTAGAATGTTCTACGCGCCGAACCTTCTACGCCGAACGATCCAGAAACCCACGAGGGTACATAAGGGATTCCGCAAGGCGAGCGGAGTCAGTTTCGCCCCAGCGTTCGACTCTGCTGCTACGCCGACTTCGACGCCCGCGACGCTCTGTTATTATCTTTTGCACCCCTTTTATTTTTTGGCACAAGTTCGCCACATTAAACGTTTATTTCTTCCTGTTAATTTCTTGTTTATTGGTCACCACCCGTGACAATATTTTTATTAATTTTGACACGCTGCTCTCTACGGATGTACAATTTTCATGTCCACGGAAAGCGGAAAAGAAGCTCTTTATAAATGTACAAAGCTCACTCAATTGTTCTCATTATTTCCTTCGATGGCATGAATTAAAATCTTTTAAAAGTTTACAAGTTTGAAAATACCTTATCTTCTCAAAAGCACACTTTTATTATTTTACATTTTCGTGTCTTCGTATAAAACATGGTTTTCTATTAAGAACAACCGTTTATAATTGTGATATCTTGTTTGTATGGCCTCTATCTAAGCTCCAATATCGTGAAATGTGTGATCGCATTTAGCCAGAAACATAGGCAACCTTATCAAGGATAGGCATCACTGATTAATATATATATAGATATAGATATAGATATAGATAGATATATTTGCGTATCTCTCGAGCGATATGTTCACGTCCTGGTGGTGGCCTCATTGTGAGACGACCGGAACGAGACCGAGACGGCGTGAGTGAAAAAAAACACACAAAAAAAAACGTGTTTTTTCTTATAATAAATGAACAGTTGTAAGTCAGCGTTGCGTCTCGGTGCATCTACTTGTCCTTTGTCCATCTTCGCGCTGTTTTTGATTTCACAATGAGTCTGGCGATTTATTTAAAAAGATTTTAAAACCAGTAGGAAAGCTTAATTACGTTAAGACCTCTCTATAGTGTGCGCAGAGTTATAAGCAAAAATAAAAATAACGTAGAGGAAAAAAACCACGCGAGGGGAGTGAGCCAAGCATACTCGACATTTGTCAGTCGGGAAAACCACTCCTTTCCACCTTGACCTCTTCTGTGCTCCATTACTCGAGCACAAAAAATTATCCCAATCCGCGGTCTTCACATTTCTCATACGTGGAAAATTGACATACAATTTTTTCCCCAAAATTAAACATTCGACCCTTTTTGCTCGCACGATTTGAGATTAAATCCCCCGTTGTTATACGTCTGGAAACACTTTCCTAGGCGTGCTTCATGTCTTTATAACCGTCCCCTGTACATACTTTTTGTCTTTATAGTCTTTATCTTTATAGTCTTTATAACCGTCCCCTGTACATACTTTTTGGCAAAAGCATATCGGCATTGTCTGTATTTTTCGGCAGCTCCGTCGGCACTGTCGCCGCAAGGCACGGAACCCAAAGGAACGGGGGCTTGCGGCGGCGTCTGCAAAGAACAGTTTCCGGTTCCGGTCTGCGGGTCCGACGGCCGCATCTACCACAGCGAATGCGTCATGAAGCAGATGACCTGCAGGTTCGTATATTATATGGCTCAAGTGAGTTCAGGGAAGGCTCCTCCCACCTCCTTCCACTTTAACAGAGCGAATAAACCAGCGTCCCTCGTTTATTCGCGACTCCAACTGTCTAAAGGTGGCGCCACTCGTTTTCCAAAATGGCGGTTATAGTGAGGGCCGCAGACAAGGAGGACCATTCCATTTAGCCAAAGAAGTGCATTTACCGCTCTCTGCTCGGCACCATTTTGTTCGACCGCAGCGCCCTCTCCACACATCCGGGAAGTTCAGCGGGTTCGTTCGGCGGGGTAAAACGAGAGAGAGGGCACGCGCCCGACTCCGCTAGCAGACGACAAACCGGGAGGCTGCCGTTCTTTATCTTTGGGCTGTATCGGTGGGCTCTACCGAACATCGAACTCTCGCTCGTGGCTGCCGTTGTGAAGTGGTTCGCGTTCTTAGAATAGTTGTGGCTACTCCAAAATCAGCCTATAGCTCTCTGTTGTTCTGATTTGCTAAATGATGAACTAGCATATCTTTTTGCAGTTGAGTCAGCCGGCAGTACTACCCTCAACTACTGCTTGTATTGCGGCAGGAGAGCACGTTTTATTTATTATTTCAGACTTCCACTCATGGTCGCTAAAGGCCTACACCCAGTACGAACTTTTGTATAGTAAAAAAGGTACAGCAACCGGATTTACTTTTCGCCAAAGAGACCGGCCAATCTGACACAGTTCTCCCTATTTTTTTCTTTTATTTGCATGCAGGTAACAGCGCAATTGGACCCTGTGAGTCTTTTTATCTAGCATAATATTACACGGCAACTGGCATACCAAAATCTGCGCACCTGCGCTTGAAAGTTCCAAAATGACGCGATTTTGAACAGAGTTTGCACGCCAGCCGGACGCTAGCTGCAGCCCACTCGGCGGAGGAGACGAGATGCGGGGTGAGAGGGGGAGTGCATTATTTTCTCTTTTACCCTCTCTGCTATGACCCTAATGGAACGGTCTTATGTACTAGGAGGGGGAACGTTGCAATATTGGTGAAGCCTAGTCATAAAAAGTTTAAACGATTTTGTGCCCAGCGTGCCCGCAGATCTCTCTGGCGATTGGTGCGCGTGACATGTCACGTGTGAGATGGATGGTTGATTGTAGAAGGACTCTTTGCAGGCTTGCGCGCGCTCCGTCCGGTAGGTTTTATGAGATCGAAGGCTAGACTGTGGTGTATTCTAGTACCCCATATCAATACGAAGGCTAGCTACGGTCACGTGATGTGGTCACGTTGGCATGGTAAGTGAGGAGAGTAAGGAGGAAAATGAGAAAGAGGCGAGGCGTCAAGGGTTGAGGATGCTACGCGGCCGACGTCATGCCCTCTCCTACCCTTCTATCCTCCTTGGTCGCAACTGCGTGCTGGCATACCAGTTGCTGAGCCTGTCTAGTGTGCTGGCTTCACTCAGGGACACAAATTTCCAGGGTGTTAGGCCCGCAGATCACCTCTTTTTCCTAAAAACAAAAACGGTGTTTCGCGTAATACTTAGGCCAGGAGGCTCATTCTGCAGGGTGATCCAAGGAGACGCCAGGCTCTTTAAATCGACCGGAAAACTCGGTTTCTTAACCTATCGCGCTACGACTTTGTGCAGCGTTGCCCATAGATGGTGCTTTTTTTTTTTTTTTTTTTTTGTAAAATTTGCAAAGAGCGAACTTACCTGAGGAAAAAGTAAAGAAAGAAAAAGGCTTAGCTCCTATGAAAACGCAGCGAAGCCACCGGTCTTCAAACAACACGGCGCCGTTTCGCACGGGAGACAAGGGATGGCGCAACGAACGCCGCCAGCGAACGAGCATACGGCGTCGAGAGCCTGCGTCTTTAGCAGACAATCTTTTCGACTCAAAACTAAAAGCAGCGCACGTTCCGCAGGCGGCGACAGTCGCAGAAACAAAAACAGGCGCGGTAACAACAAGGAACTGCAGTTCCTTGTGTGCTAAAGACGCCGGCTCTCGGCGTCGTATGCTCGTTCATTGGCGGCAGTTAGCGTCGCGACCGCTTTCGCCATCTCTTGTCTCCCGTGCGAAACGGTGCCGTGTTGTTTGAAGACCGGTGGTGTCGCTGCGTTTCCATAGAAGCTAAGCCTTTTTCTTTCTTTACTTTTTCCTCAGGTAAGTTCACTCTTTGCAAGTTTTACAAAAAAAAATAATGCACCATCTGTGGGCAACGCTGCACAGAGTCGTAGCGCGATAGGTTAAAAACCGAATTTTCCTGTCGATTTAAAGAGCCTGGCTTCTCCTTGTTTCACCCTGTAGTTTCTTCAGAGGTCGTATGGGTCGTATGGAGTGAAACCGCGAGCGGAGCCCATAGAGTTATTACAATAAACGCTAGAGGCTCAGCTGGAACGATAGAGGCTTATCAGGAACGAAACCGAAACTAAGTTTTATTCTGGATCGAATTTCTTGCTATAGGTGTTAATTTTGGTTTCTCTTCCAAATGCAAGCTGTGCTTTCCAACGTAATTATTAAGCTAAAGAAGTGGTGTGCGGAAGCTTTCTTTTGCGACATACGTGTTCGATCCAGACACTTCAAAATATTTTGCAGGGTTCAGTGCCTCTTTAAAGGCAAGTCCTTCCTTCCGCCTTAGAGGAATCAGAATGTTATATTGAAAAAATCAGCGCTGATATTTTTGTGTTCTTGCTGCTTTTCCTCTCTCAGATAATTGTCATGTAAAATAATTAACTGCGGGCCCTTTAATGGGTTTTGGGGCATTTCGATTATCAATTGCTTTACCATTTATTCTAAACACACGAATAACAGAATCAATTCAAATTTTACAACATATCGCCAGGAGTGATCAGTTTAGAATATGCTCAGGAAACATGTAAATTGAAAAAACGCTGTTCTCACTAAAAAAAAAAAAACAAAAAAAAAAACAGAATCTAAGTTAGAAAGCAAAAGTGTTTTTTTTTTTTTTTTTAAGACAACGCGTGACGCATATGACTTTATATTATTCCAGTCTATCTTGATAACGATGCCAGAGTTTTTCCTAAGCTAAAAAAAAAAACGGTGAGGCCTTTCTGTAAAATCAGTTCTTGTTAAATAGCGCATTATTGTGATTCGGGTGTGGCCTACATTTTCGCAAATTATATTCATTTAATACAATTAAGATATTTTAATACATAGTTTTTCAAACTCTATTAGAGCTTGTTGCTTATAATCTAATTTCAGACGCGCAAACAACTATATGGCAGTCCAAAGTCCGAAAATAATTGTCACTGGTGCCAATTGCAGCATTTTTAATTAACGAGTCATAAAATAAAAATAGTCTAAAATATATGAAAACAATCCAGCTGACCCAAGAAATGCATGTAGAATGGCAATAATTCTGAGTAAAGCATATTGCACTATCAAAGTCGCGACTTTTGACAATCGGCAAAACTTCCAAATTTGCCGCCAATCTTTCCGGACCAAATGCCCCAAAAAATACAAGAGATATTCCGTTTGTGTGCGTGTGTGTGTGTGTGTGCGTGGGTGTGTGTGCGCGCGTGTGCGTGTGCGTGCGCGTGTGCGCGTGTGCGCGTGTGCGCGTGTGCGCGTGTGCGCGTGTGCGCGTGCGTGCGTGCGTGTGTGCGTGCGTGCGCGTGCGTGCGTGTGCGTGTGTGTGTGTGTGTGTGTTTCAATTACAACGTTTCTCAGAACATATATTTTCTTTAATTTTTACGCTCCGTCTTTTTTTGCCAATCTCAGCCTTTCCAGTTCGAAGGAACGCCAACCCGCTTGCATGTCTGCTCACTGCAGCACGTTTCGTTGGCATCAGAAAACCGGTGAAACAGTAATGTGAGTTTTATCATCGGGTACACGAGCGAACGCAATTGCACCGTGTGTCTGCGGTAACGTTGCGTCTTTCACACTACCCGTGCGCGGAGCCCAAAAATTACGGTCTTTAATGGGTGCATGGCAACGCAAACGGCCGGCGCTTGCGTTTGCTTTTATATGCAATACTAAAACACTCTAAATAGTAGTAAGGCACATGCCCATAGCGACTGCAGCACGCACTACCTTGGAACCGTGGAGAGCGTTGTTTACATTCAGAAATGACGTTTCGCGAGTCATGATCGCGAGCAGTTCCGCCGTGCCCGCTAATCGGGAGAACCGCGGGGACCCTCACTAGAGCGCTTCCCTTTTCCGCCGCGAGAGGGCGAGCAACGAGCTGGAGAAGCGAGGGGCTGTTTCATCCACGACAGGGCGTGACACCGAACGACTCTCACTTTCCAAAAAATAAGATATGACATCGGAAAACGAAGAAAAAAACGAGAAGGTCCAACGCCGTTTCTCAAAACCATGAAGTGATTATGGGTACTTAAGGGTGAGGGAACAAACTACAATTGACGAGAAAACACACACATCCACAAATGAACCTGTCGAAGTCGGTGGTAAGACATAGAAAAATGGCCCTAATGGCACTCACCCAGTGGCAGCCGACGTTTCATAAGAAACTTGGCTTCTTCAAATCTCTTGGCAAACGTCGGTTACCACTCTGTGTGTTCCAGGAAGTCTTTCCAGCGCGCAAGGGTGATAAGCCCCAGAAGGCATATCATCAAAGAATGTATTGAGGGGCAGGATGTCATGCGAAGTGTCATGCTCGAGCCAAGGGCAACATGAAGAACGCGTAACCCGTAGCAGGCTCACTCGAGGTTTCAAATGGTCACTTGCGACGTAATTAATTGTTCCAGCCGTTAAAAGTCGGCGACCACACTTCAGCTACCACAAGGGTCTCCCCGCAATCCGAACTTTGGTGGCAGCGGCGGAGCGCATCACCCACGGCCTTTCTGAGCATTCTTCTGTATTTCACAGGATTGAACCGCCGGTCTTGAGCTGTTCGGCCCGACCGTCGACAGGACTTCGGAGAGTGTGCCGCTGTCCCGAGGATTGACCTGCCCGTCTTGTGCTGTTCGGCCCGACTGTCCTCAGTACCTCGGAGATCCGTTCAGGATTTTAAATTTCGAGCCAATTTAAGTCCGCCAATCAGCGTGTACCGCCAC